GGTAAAATTTATTTCAAAAAATCTTTATTGGACAGAGCATTGTTCTGCCACCTTGCCTGAAGTACGATCTACTCTTGAAATGGTTGAGAGATTGGGTTTGTCTGTTCAGATATACTAAATAAAAAAACCCTAATAAATCTTAAATATAAGCATGCAGAAGCAGCAGGCAGTAGAACAGGATATAATTCATATTGGAATGGCAAAACTTGTCCAAGTTGGTCCAATGCCTCCTTTCTGGCATGTGATTTCAAATTTGAGCCTTTCCTATTTTCAGTGTGCCCTGGGCAAAGATGGCTTGGAACTGTTGGGTTTTTGACCAGTAGAGAATTAATTGAGGTGAACTTTCTCTGCTGCCCAAAACATGGTGGTGCTTTCTACCTGATCACCGATCACCAACATTTTTCCTGTGACACTGAACCCTCCTTCAAGCCTAGTCTCGACCTGCCCTGTTAGGTTCTTTTTTGCAAGACTTGAACAAGGATGTGTAGAGGCATCTGGTTTTGAAGTACTGATGTCTTTTCTGCCAGAACAACTGGATTAAAAAGCTATGCCAGAAGAGGGAATGTTTTCCCAGGTTTAACTCTGCAGTTCCCAGCAGAGTATGTGGTTGGTTCATAAATGTGTACAGTTTGGAGTTTGGTGAGGTGAAGTCTTAAAGGTGTCTTTGAAACCAGCAAGCTGGGATTTTCAGTGGGTACTAGATCCCTGCTCTTCAGAAGTTTCAGGCATCTTCAAATAACCAAGTGGAATGTTCTGCTTCTCTCAGCACTAACATTTATATAGATCTGTTAAAAATCAGTTTACATATCCTGCTTCAGGCACCCTAGTCTGAAGAGTTCAGCTGATGCATTTCCTTCTACTGTCCCAGTTACTGACCTGATCACGAAAAGAAATGTCTGTACAGCTGGTAGTGCACAAATAGAGATTTATCTGCTATGTGCTGCCACAAGCAAGAAAACTTGGGAAAGATGATAGTAATATTGCTGTTCACTTTCATTTTATGCACCCAGTTCTAAACCCTTCAAATCTACTTTTATGCAGTCCAGGAGAGAGAAAAATGCTTTTATTAAGTGGCACTCTCTTTGTTCCAGTTTCCCTGGTAGTGCTTATTCCCTTGGCTGCTATGTGTGCTTGGCTCTCTCAAGCCACTCTTCTCTAATGCAGTGGCAATGTGGAACAACCAGTTGGTATCCAAACCCCTGATTTAGAGGGCTTTCTGCTCTTGGCTGAGCAACCCTAGTAACTGAAGTCAAGGAAGCTCTATTGTGCACTGAGGAATGTGGTGGGAAGCTGCTGTGCCCTTCCTAGCACACTCAGAGTTGGCATGAAGGAACCGGGGGAGCAAAGACAGACTTATTTAATAGATCTCTCCAGCTTCTTCCCACAAAGCTACCATTGCACAGCAAGTGTCGTACCTGCTCTGCTAGCTGACAGCTGCAATTTGTATTTCCTTTTGCCCAAGCCAACCCACAGAGCTTACATAAGTGTCTTTCTGTCCCATTCCATGTCAGAGCAATTTTAAATTTAAATTCCGGTGCTGTGGGATATTGCCTAATCTGATTAGAGAGCGTGTACCAAGTACCTTTGCTGCATTGCCAGTTCTTCTACATTGTTGTATGCAAGTCAGAGTTTTAAAAGTACTGCTCTATGTGAAGAGTGTGGATTTGAGGCTGTACTCTATGTCTAATGTTGTAATTTATTATTATTATTTCTTAGGCTTGGCAAAATTACTTTCCAGAGCATGGAAAAATCCCTCCTATCAAACCTATGGAATTGAAGTATTTTTCATTGTCTGATGCTGACTTGCTGCATTACCATATATGCACAAATGTCCATGCACTGATATTAATGCCAGTAAAACCTCCAGCATAGCTTCCACAGGGAATAATGGCATCAGCAGTAGTAGGGTAGGGCAGATGCAAACTGGTCAGTCCCCACCTCCATCCTCAAAATGAGCCTCTGCCGAGTCTCTGGGATTGCCACTGCTGAGGTTTTGAATACTTGTGGTGTGTGCAAGGGGGTGTTTGCCAAAGGTTGTGCTGTACCATAGAGTTAAGCACATCTCCACGTGTGATTGTTTGAACTACTGTTTTCAGTGTCTTTCAATATAAAAAGCATCAGGCTGCCTGCCAAACCCCCATCTCGACACAGATATGCTATGGGGTCTTGTGAAGCATTACAGATGTATTGAAAAGCATTACAGATGTATTGAAACAAGCCTGGTCTCATTCCTCCAGGAGGTTCTTTAGTCATGAAAATTTTCTAACTAAGCCTCTGGTCTGTCTTTGTTGTGGAGTCTTGCACGGGACCAAATTACTCAGTGCATTCAGCAGGGGCTTTAATGCACACCCAACCCACTCCAGAGCCTGGGAGGGCTGGAGCAGCAAGGGCAGGCTGCACTTGCCTGCAGAGCCTGTTTGTACATATGAAGGGCTGAATCCATGTTCCTCAGAATTCATGTTCCTCTTGACTTGGTTGCTCAGTTCTGAGACTCAGCACAGATCCTGGCCTGGAGTGCCAGCTGTGAGGATTAATTTTTCCCTCATTATGAGCCAAATAAGTGATGTGTACACACACACATATCTCTCCATGTATTTTTTGGGGGGGGGGGGAATTTTGTGTTGATTTGGGTTTCTTTTTCCACTCATCCTCAACACATTCAGCCTCTTCCAGTACTTGGAAGCTCTGTTGATGACAAAGCACAACCCAAATGTAAATTGTAATGGCAAATATAATCTAATACAGGACTGTTTGTAAAAGTACTAGAACACTCTGGTTTTTTGCTTCATACGGGGTATGTTGGCCAAATAGAGCCACTTTCAGTTCTGGATGTTCATCAGTAGATGGTGCTGGCAAACTGTACATCTGTTGGTGCAGCCCTGCAGCTGGCTGCACCAGCCACGGACTGCTGTGCAGGTGGGGAGGTCCAGGTTTCTACATGCCCTCAAGCCAGGCTCGGAACAGGAGCCCCATTTTGCCAACACAATGATCTGTATTTCCTGGTGCATCAGGAAATGCAGTGTCTGGACTGCTCAGACTGCTCACTGCAGCCAGAAATGGTGGTTACTGGCACACAAATTTGGACATTTCTACACTGAAATGCAGACAACTGGGTCCAGTATTATATGGAGGGGAGATATCTGCACACAGAAGGAGTTGTGAGGATCTGAAAGCACAGAGGTGGATTTTCCCTGTTAGAGTCCCATCTTGAAATGGAACAGAAAGGAAGGTTGCGAGCATGATTCTTGTTCTCTGCTTCCCCCAGCACACTTACTGCTGATTTTTCTTCAGCTTCCAACTGAAAACTGGGGTTTTTTTAATTGTTGGATGTGGCCTTATGGTGAGCATTTAATCATGCAGTGATCTGAACCGAGAAGTAGAAGAAAAGCACGGTCTTTATATAGATTTTATTTTTGTTTCTTTTAGTATGATTTACAATTAGAACTGAATGGCTAATAATCTTCCTTTACACAAGTCTGTAAATAAAACTAATGTTGATCTCTGCCTGATCTCCTGACCAATGTTGCCAACACTGCCATAAGGTGCAGCTTCACACTGGAAAGTGCTTCTTGTGTAACAATCTCTGGTTTGAGGACTGGACTGGCATATGGTAAAAGGAGCTGTTATGAGGAACTAGGCAATAAATGGATCATGGATGAGCTTACAGTAGACCTGAAAAAGCACTACCTCACTGTGGTTTCTCTAGTTATAGAATGGCTGTGGAAGTTTGCAGGAGACACGTGCACTCCAGAGTTGACTGAAATAACCTTGTTTCCTTGATTTTCCTTTACTTAGATTCTGAAAATGTGTATAGCAACAACAATAGTTTATGAAAAGGTGCAAGAATTGGTGGTTGGACCAAGAATTGGTCAAGGTGGTTCCATTACACAGTCAGCAATAGAAACTGAGGAGTGATCACTGCAGTCTGTCATCCTTGCTTATAATTCAAGCTTAGTGAAACATTTGTCTTATGTTAACAGCTAATTAAAACAACACGTAAAACCTGACATCATTACTCAGGATTAATTCCTGTGCTTGATGTGGTTTATTGTTTAATTCCTTTGAGAGTATTTTAGAGAGAGGTGTCTCAGATAAGTGCACACTGTTCAGAACACTTTAGACTCAGCATTAACCCAGTGTTAAAGGTGGTAAGTGCTGTTTCTTTATTTTTGGGTTTTGTTTTTTTTTTTTGCTATTCATTTTTTCTGTAGACTCTTAAGAGATCTATAGGGAAAAACCACAATTGCTGTGTCTTGGAGGGTGTTTCGGGGGACTATGTTGATTCTTCCCTGCTTCCTACTGAGTCCATAAGAACAAACCCAATGGGCAGACCCAAGCCCTTCCATGAGATGCCCAGGCTGGAAAACCCTTTGGGCAGTGAGGTCTTGGATCATGTATGTGTTTAAGTTGCCCAAAGCACTGCTGACACGACCATGACCTCCTGTGTTACAGAC